GAAGAAAATATGCTGAGCAGAGCAGCCACGGTTCAACACCGAAGAGTTAGGCTTGCGCACTTTGAGAATTGTTTTCTCCAGCAAAAACCAACTATTTTTTAAAATGTGAAATGTATAATTAATTCAGAATAAGCAGAGGCTCACCCTCTATTGTACTTGACCTCTGCACAGTTCACATAGCCGAACTTTTCTTCCTTAGAGAAGCTCCCAAATATGGGAGCTTTCTCTGGGCCTCTCCACCTTCTTGTCCTCGCTTTCTCTTCTGGTCCTTAGGCTCCCCACCTGCTTCTGGATCTGCCAACAGGGTGCTCCCCACCATGCAGACCTAGGCACCTACCCTCCTATCTATGGGGCACCTCTCCCTGGGGATTTTGCCCAGTCAGGGCTTCAGCTGTGACCTATGTTCTGAAGACACTCCCATTTTCCCAGGGGTTCCATTTTCACATTTCCCAACAGTTTACATCCTTGCCATTCAAACTGGTCCAGGGACTAATAGCATGGGTAATGCCTGGGAGCTTATTAGAAACACAGACTGCCAGGGCCCAGACATCCTAAACCAAAATCCACTTTAATAAGACGCCAGTGATTCATGTACACACTGAAGGTTAGGGACCACTGGTCTCTTCTAGCCATCTGGGCACCCCACTATAGCTCAAGCTCAACATGTCCACACTGAAGGCAGACCCTTTCTCCAAACTATGGATTTCTTCTCCATTTTCCGTCGCAGTGAACAGCTTCTGTCTAGTGTACAGGGTGGATGTGAGCTGGGGGAATCAATATTCCCACCATATGGCTGCCACACCTTATAATAGGCTGCAAATGTCCCAGAGCTGGGCCACCAGACCCTGGTCTCCTCGGCCAGGATACTGGGGAGACATCATGTTCTATGTGGAAGGCAACCTAAATGTTAGGGCCAGGACAGAAAGCCCCTACATTCTTGTGACAGGGCTCATTTGAGTCTCCACCTGGTGCCTTCCCCTGCTGTGGCCAGAGCTGCTCGATACTGTCTCAGGCCTGTTGCTGTCCCTACTCCAAACCTGAGGGCCCTATGTTGGGAGAGCATAAGTTCCAAAGCTTGATGGTCTCTCTGCTCATCAACAAGGTGCCTTCAGAACCCTGAGAGGCCCATTAAGTGCAGATGTAGCTGGGTTCATGGCTGCAAGTTCAACTCTTGGATATGATGTAAGTGGGCTCTGATGCAAACTGTATTAGGCAGAAGTCTCTCTGTTGCAACCTGACTAGCTTGAATAAAACCAGGGATTAGGTCATAGGTAAATAGGATAGATTGTTGACTCAAAAGATCTGAAGGAGGGAGGAGTCTGAGGGATTTCAGGAGCTGAGAGCTGAATCTGTGCTTCCAGAACATTCTCCTTCCTGCTTCTCTCTCAGAATCTCCTTTACTCTCCCAGGCTTCCCACTTCACAAAGGACATTGCTGTAGCCAGATCTGACATGTGGCATTCCAGCTGAGCTATGCAAGGTAGGAGAGAGTTTGCTTTCTTCCAGGTACTCTGGTTAGCCAGACTGGGTCTCATGCATACTCTGGACCATTTTTTGTGGCATGAACCCCATCCTCAGTCCAGCTAACCTAAGCATCTCAGGGCTAAGTGATGAAGAAGCCCATTGATAGTCTGTAAGAGCATCAAGTGACTTAGTGTTCTCATCACAAATGAGTCTTGGGGCTTATTGATGTGTGCGATGACCCAGGTAACTATGCACTAAAAATATAGTGTCCCATGTTATTGTCATTCCAACAAGTATTAAGAGTGCATAGGTCAGGCTGATTGTTACTTGCCCTGTAAGCTAACAGCATCATGATGCTTTAATGAAGAGGTGATCCTAAAAAAATCCCCACCCCCTTCCTCTAACAGATGTTTAGTTCAGTGTTTGGGGAAACCTCTTTTTACCTCCTTGCTTCCTATGATGACTGCATGCCACACATGACCTAGGCCAAAACTCACCACCAAATCTGAAAGTATCTGCACTCTGCCTGCAAGAACCACTGCATTCTGAGCAAAAGCATCTTATTTGTTGTAACTTCACTTAAATGTACAAGCAATTGTGCATGTTGAAAACTCCTTATATATATTTGTTCTGATAGATGTCTTATAGTAAAACAGCATGGATGGAACTGGAGAACATTATGCTAAGAGACATAAGCCAGGCGGTGAAAGACAAATACCATATGATCTCACCTATATGTGGAACTTAATCATCAAAGCCAGCAGGCAAGGAAAATATGACCATCAACATTGAAAAAAAGAAGAAACCAATGGGGATGGGAGGGAGGAAGGGAGAGTGGTAGCAGGGAGGGGAAGGGGAAGGGTCAGATCAAGGAACAGGTGTGAAGGACACATGGAAGAAGCCAAAGTGGGGAAGGGAGGAGGTGTGGGTGGGTGGCTGGGTGCAGCAGGGGAGAGCGGTGGCAGTTAAATGGAGACAACTGTATTGGAACAAAAAAAAATTAAAAAAAAACCAAATTGAAGAACTTTTCCTACTTTCTATTTGCATGTTTCTTCTTATGTCTACTTAGAAATGCTATCACATGTTTAGTGGTATATTTGATAGAGAATGAGTGGAGTTATTTTTTATGCTTACTATGACAGAAACATTGAGATTTTTCACTCTAAAGGAACACCAGGTAAAATCATCCATTGCTTCCAGTCTGAGCAGAACTTGAACGGTTTGCTTCTGGCAATAACAGTGGGACAAGTTCTGTTAAGATGTTGCCAATAGCTTCTACAGTTCCCTTGAGAAGCATTTTCCGTAGGAGATGGTCTTACAGCTGCCTGTTATACTCTATGGTAGCAGGTCCCCCATTGCACACGTTAGTGTGCATTTGTGCAGCTATGACCAGAGTTTTGGAGGTAGAGCCTCAATTGAATTTATCACAATGACTTGTTTGACCAACTTGCACCTACCAGCTTGTAAAAGCTGTGTTCTTCCTGGTAGGATATATTAATTTCCATGTGTGATAGTCCTAAGCTCCTACTAAATTTGAGGGGCTAGGTTTGGGGTGATTGAAGCGCAATTCAGTTCTACAGAGGCCTGGGGGATTCCTGCTCCATTGCCCTCTGCCACCATTTCCTCTCCATATGCTCCACTTGCCACTCCCACCTGGCACTGCCAGGGCCCCATTAGCTCATACGGTTCTTTGTGCAAATCAGGAAATCACCTTACTTCCACAAAACATTATATAGCCCTGTTCTGCTGGTACACTGCCATGAGGAAATATGATAGATGCCTATGATAATTATGTGAATGATGTGCTAATCATATATCCTTCTCCCTAATGAGATGCTCTAGGAAGTTCCAGTGAGTTCTTCCAAACGGTCTTTCTTCCTCAAAAGATGCATGGTCTATTCGCTACCTTTGAATCTGGCAGAAAGGGAGGGAATAAGATGCAGTTGTAGCCACAGAGAATGACTTTCTCTTTGTAAAGTCAGGCTACTTTGCTTCTGGAAAATCATTTCCTGCTCTCAGTGCGGACGCTTTCCAATAAACCACAAGAGGGACTCACAAGCCATTATGAGCCTTTGGGGTTGTCGCTGTAGAACTAAGTTCATTGGCAAATATTTACATTAAAGTTACTGCAATGAGAGCCTTAAATAGTACAGGAAATTTCATATTCAAAATGCAAACTGGCTTCAGGATGAATGCTAACACAGTGTATTTGTGTAGCAATTTAGTGTCCAGAATCTTGCAATATTCATTAACCCATTTTAAGAATTCTATGAGAATTAAGTCACCTTTATATATGTGAGTATGGGACAATTAAAGGATAAGAAACTTGACCAAGTTCAAATTACATAATTACACAGAAGGGCACAAATCACACTCAAGGCTGTGTTTAAAATATATACTTTACCACATATACATGGTCCATTACAAAAATCAAACAATTTCTGTAGTGCACTCACACAGAAAGAAGTATCCTTAATAACACAGTTGACAGGATGGCCCTCTCCAAGAATGGATCTGTCTTCAGTGAGGTCCTGGATGCTGTGGGAGTCTACAGAGCAACTTCCCCATGTGTGCATATGCCACACATTCCTGCCTGACCCCCACCCAAACCTATCAGAAGCTGCATGCAAAATTGAATTGGGCAAGGCACTTTCCAACAGTAGGGTCCTTAAGGACACACTTTTCCAGTGTGGCTTGTACTTCTTACTCTCAGTCTGGGGGCCTCAGGTAAAAGGCTTTGCATTCACATGAGTAGACATTCAATCAGACTTGGTAACTTTGGCACACTTCCAAGAGGTCCACTTCTTCCAGTTTGTCACTGATGGGAAACTCTCCCACTCCTCTGGAAATGATGAAGAACTTCTTGGAAGATAAAGTCTCTATATTGGTAAAGGCCCATGCTGCCAAGGGGGTGATAGCCTTTAGCATGGTGGTTGTGGGTGATCATGGATGGGGTAACGGGCACTGGGGTTCTCAGAGACAGCTCATTTTCTGTTAGGCCTCAGACCTCCCTACAATGGGCCTCTCTGCCCTTCAATTGTCAGGGTCAGTGCATCTATTTAGAACAAGAGATGCTATCTTGAGTACAGCTTGTAATAAGCAGTTTGCTCTGCTCTGAGTGCCCTAGCAAGTTATCTGATCTTTTCAAGACCAACTAGTACATATGTATCATCTCATGCTTTGGCCTATAATGACATTTTCCTTTCTCTATATACTATGAGCTTGATATCACGGATGCAGGAAGAATAGAAGATTAATATTAAAAGATTAAAATCCAGAGAAAGATGATGAAATCATGAAGGGGTTTGGCTCAGCAGAGAATCTCCTTGGATGCTCTCAGAAACAGAGTCCTCACCCCTCAGGGCTCAGACCCAGAAAAAACTTGTCCCAGAAGATTTGTCCAAGGGCAGTGGCCCCTGCTCTTTGAGGAGAGGAATCTTGTACCTCTGTAAAGGCACCTGGCATACCATAAGAAAGGGGTTCCCCACCACACAGTGGCACAAGTGAAAATACAAAAATAAGGACTTTGTTTCCAAGTTTTCATAAATAACTGGGGTGGCAGGTATTAAATAGGACCACGGGACAGAACATGGAATTACAGCTTGTTCTCCTCAAAGAGGATCTGGGCATACACAGTGCTGGTGGGGATGCCTCTGGCAGCCTGATGGGGCTTGATCAGCTCCAGCTCAGCATAGGTCAAGTTCTCCTCAGCAATCTTTGGCTGTAAGACAAAACACAACACAATTCTGGCTGACCACAGGAAGTTTCACATCATACATTTGTTCATCAGGCATGCTTTTTCATTGCATTTTGGGGATTCAAAGAGCAACAAATGAACAAAAATACGAAGAAGTATATATAAAACCTAAATAACATAATAAGATCGATCTCATGTCTCATATAGAACACTATGCCCTGCAAAGAGAACACTGTGACTTGTTTTCAAGTCAACACAGAACAGTAACAAAAAAGTGTTTTTTTTGTGTTTGGCCTAATTAAACATTAGGCCAAAGTAAACTTTAATTCTGAAAAGTAAAAGTAACATAACTAACAGTCTCTGATCAAAATAAAAAAATAAAGATAGAGACAGAAACAAAAATCTTAGAAATTAATAACAAAACTAGAATGTTACCATCTAGTAATTTTCTTAAATGACTTAAACTGTATAAAACTAAAATTTAAGAATATCTTTAAAATAATAAAGAAAACATTACTTGCCAGGACCTAAAAAAAGAGTGTCAGAGAAAAATCACAGAGTTAAATATTTATATTAAACAATATGAATTAAATGGACTAAGCCTTCAACCGAATAAGTTGGAAAAAGAACAAAATAAATGAAAGAAAAGCAGAAAGAAGGACCAACAAAATTAAAACCAGACTGTGTGAACCAAAGGAAGATAAAACACACACACACACACACACAGAAACCCAGTAGAATTAATAAAAATATCCAAAAGCTTGTGTTTGGAAAACACCAATAAAATAAACAAACTGAAAAAATACATTAATCAAGATAAAAAGGGAAAAATGTAAATAAATAGAATAGGAAATAAGGGTATATAATGTAAATAAAGAAACATTTTAAAATTAATAAAATGACTTCTCAATTTATTGCAAGAAATTTTTGAAATACAGGATAAAATGGGTAATGTTCTAGAAAAATATAAATTATAAGCATTAACTCCAAAAAAATGAGTGTACTAATTATCATAAAAAAATAGAAAAGAAAGTGAAAGAAGAAAAGGAAGGAGGAAAGGAGAAAAAAAAAAAACATTGTCAAAAACTCTCTCAAGAACACCAGGTCCAGGCAGTTTTATACAAGAATTTCTTTAAAAAAAATTTCTTTATGAAACAAATAAATCCAATGTAATTAAAATGATCCAGTGCATTAAAAAAAAAGAAATTCACATATTTTTAGAACAATCTCATTTATTGATATAAATTTTAAATAAAATTTACTCAGAGAGAATGAAGAAGTATATTAAAAGTTACATAATCAAGTTAAGTTGATTTTATTTCAGGAATGCAAAGATACTTTAATATTAGAAAAATCTATTAATATAGTTCACAGTAATAGATAAAAAACCACTTTGTTATCTTTATAGATATTAGAAAGTCATCTAATAAAATTTAGAAATATTTTTGTTAAAAACAATTTTTGAATGAAGTAGTCACTGGTGTGTGTGTGTATTTACCATGTTTAAGGAACATTATTGAAATAAATACTTGGCGATCCAACTCTAGCAATATTAAAATATAAAGCTGCCATCATTAAAATACTGTGGTACTGGCAAATGAAAAGACATAATATCAATGGAACAGGTGAGAAGTTCCAGAAATTGACCCAAATATTTTCAATAAATGATGGGGGGATACTTGGATAGACTTTTGAAAAAATAATTATATCCCTATATCAGGCTTTATACCAGAGAAATCCCAGATGAATTAAACATTTTTAATGTGGAAAATAAACTCATAAAAGTGCTAGAAGAATGTGTAAATAATCTCAGCATATGAAATGTATTTTAAAGTATGATACAAAATCCAGAAGCAATAGAGAAAAGATATGGATGTCTTCATGCTATATATGGCAAAATATTCTCTAAATAAAGTCAAAGAAGAATTTTAAAAATGGGAGAAATATTTGTAATTTATATCAAGGGGGTTTACAATTCAACACAGATAATGGCCAACAGTCCTTCAGAAAATTGAGCAAAGAATAACAGACAGGACTCAAGAGTCCACAGGAGAGGAAATACAAATGACTCTCACACATATGAAATGAGATTCCATATCCCTCCTAATAAAAGAAGTGTGATTTAAAATCACACTTATACATCAGTTTTGTATTTTAGGAGAACAAACTGATGTTGTCAGAAGGGAGGGGGTGGGGGAACGGGTAAAAAAGGTGAAGGAACATAAGTACAAACTTCCAGTTATAAAATAAGTAAGGCATAATGTTGTAACGTACAGCACAGGGAACATAGTCAATAATTTTGTAATAACTTTGCATGGTGGCAGATGGTTACTAGACTTATTGTGGTGATGGTATTGTAAGGAATACAAATATATCGAACCACTATGTTGTATATCTGACATTAATATAATATGCATGCCACCTATACTTTAATAAAATTAAAAGAAGGTGAAAGGATTAGCCAAAGAACATATATGCATAAACCATAACACAGACAACAGTGTGGTGATGGCCAGAGAAGGGGGTGGGGGTGAGTACAGGGAGGAGGTGGGCGAAGGGGGATAAAATGGGGACACCTTTGTCCCCATGTAATAGTGTAAACAATAATGTAATAGTGTAACAATAAAAATAAAATAAACAATAGGTTGCTAAAAGAAACAGAAAGAAACAAGTCCTCTTGTATGTTGTTGGTGGTGAAAGTACTTATTGATACAAGCAAAAATCTGGAAACATTTACATGAACATCAATAGAAGACTGGTGCATTCCTACAATGGAGTATATGCTGCAGTCTTTACGAGGAATAATGGAATTATATGTGTACGGTGTGTTCTACTATTATTTGTGTAAATATGTGTGTAAGTGAGTAAATGTATGTGCATATATTTATATGCTTAGAAAATCCTTGGAACCTGCTTGAAAAATCAAGAACCTGGTATCCATGGTTCTCTCTGAGGAAGTAAACTGGATGACCAAAGGGACACCCCCCCTTTATTGCATACATTTGTTTATACCTTTTGAATTTTCTGGTAGGCACATGTATTCAAAAAACATGTTAATTAATTTAACTCATAATTAGAGAAATATGTCATTGACTCACAGTCATAAAAGGCATACGACTCATTTAAGCAGTCATATTTTTGTTTTTGGTTTTGGCTTTGGTTGTGCTGTTGTTTAGTCTTGATTTTTGTTCTTCTGCGCTTAGATCTCATTTATCTTGCCAAAATTCAGGACAAATAAACTGTTTGCATACAATTTAAGTTTCTTAAAAGAATGTCAAAAGCAGAAAGCCCCTTTTCTTCTCAATGAAACATTAATAGAAACAGGGAGCAAGGGTCAAAGAGAGTATGTCAAGAACTCCTTACGGCCAGTATGTACTGGTCAGGGCCAACTGCCAAGTTACCTCCACAAATTGGACATTTTTAAATTTCAAAGTTAAGAACATTTATAGGGATGAAAACCTCCTGCTTGTTTTTTGACACCAAAACTCTACATTGCTTTTAAGTCGTCCATATCTTACAAGCCAACAAAACTCCTGTTTACATCTTGCCTTCGGTTTAATTATATTTCACATTATGATTCCATTTAGAAATGCCATGTATCCTCAAATAAGCACTCAAAACCCACCTCATGTAAATTTTAGAACCAAGATTTATGAAATCATATTGTCCAGGTGTTTTATTATGTTACCTTGAAATTGCATTGTTTTCTAGTGTAGATTATCTGTTTATTCTTAAGTTATTCCATTATGTTTGGATATGAAAAATAACACTAGCTTTCTCAATACAGGTCACCAGGCTGGCTTGGCTGGTGTGTTGTATTCATACATTTTTATGATGTTCCTATAGTAAACATAATTTAATAAAGCCAAAGCACACTAAATAAATAATTGCATCTAGAAAAGCAATAAAAACAAATAAAATTAGTACTTTCATAAGTGGAAAGGTACTTCAATTACTGCTACAAGCACCAACCCCCTCCCCATGAAGTGTGTAGAATCATTTCCCTTATGCATATTTCTGGGATATAATAATTTGATTGAAGATATGAGGCAGCACACAGGAGGCTCCAAATTGTGAAGTGTATACAGTTTCCAACAAAAGATGCATAATATCAGTCCTTGGCACCTTTAAAGAACCTACTGTTTTTCTGGCATGCACTCTTGATTGTCACAATCAACCATGTGTTAATTACATCTCCCATCTTGTTTAGCTGGAAATAAATTCCTGAAGGCCAGGGAAAGGGGCAAGTGTGGACTCCTCACGAGTCTTTGCCATGCTACCTTTCTTCACACCCATGTTTCAGTGGAGGGTTTGGGTGATTGAGTAGTAGCTTAAAGAAAATTATCAGCATACCAATAAGATACTGGGTAAGACTCTAGGGCTGGTAATAAAGCCAGAAGTCAGGAGCAGAATGTAAATGTCAAAGTAATTGCAGTGGGGCGGAGCCAGGGTGAGAGCCTGCTGCAGAACCCTGCATGTATTTCAGGTGAGGAATGCAAACTTGCCAATTCAAGCCAGTCCTGGGTTTCAGCTAAAGAATCCCTACTGCTGCCTATGGCAATTCAAAGACTGTAGTGCAACGAGTCTCTAGAGATCAATCAAGAAGCTCTTTTGTTAGTTCCCTGCCATCTACTAGCCCTCAAAATGACTCTCTTCAAACCCCTGTCCTGTTTTGGGGGTGCAGGAAGTACAGAAGTGTATGGGGCATTAGTACTTAAGACTATAAACTTAAGTACTCTTGAACTGGTTATTCACACTTTAGGTTCCACTGAAACACAAAGGAAACTGCTGAAAATAGGATCTGTACTTGTACTTTGACACCTGTAGTTGATGTTGTTATATTTACTGGAAGGCAGGAGGTAGGAGGAACAGACAGCAGAAATGGACCAACTGCTGGAAGTCCTGGTAGGGTCCTTTAGAACAAGCTTAGAACTTCCTAAACATGTGAGAAGCAACTGCGCCATTTTCTCTTTCCCAGGACTGTTCAGTTTACTTTCTTGTCCTTTTTACCATCCTGCAGACAT